GCATACACCTCTAAACAAATTTTGAAATCCTTCAACGCATTTAAATATCGATATGTACTGTATTGAAAAATTGGCGAAAGCAATTAAATCACAGGCCTCTATATTTTCCGAGGTCATGTATAGCGCAATTAGAAATGATGCTGCAGAACAATCTGGATCTCACTTCGTCTTTGTGTATTTAACAGACCACTATCACTGAACAAAAGTTAATTTCTCCACCCATATCTGAAAGCAAAACCACAACAAATCCCAAATTTCTATAACATACAGAAAACTCCAGTCTAGAAATAGTCCTCTCTAAGATGGTCTGTATGCTACCGAAGAGAATCATTCCAAAAATGGTGCCCACTCTATTACATATTAAGATTCAAGTGTCTACGAACACATAAGCTCAGTTTCAAGGTAGGTATAGGGTCGTTACATAATTTAAAAGCTCAAAACAAAAACTATATCATTTTGGAGTGAGCTTTAAGGACTGACCAGGATATAGAGCCCAGAGGCAATGATAATAGTATGGTATTGGCCGAGGAAGGAGTCAGCCACAAAAGCACCCAATAGTGGCAAAAGTGACACCGTTCCAGACCACGCATTCACGTTCTCCGCTGCTGTTGCAGTGGATTGGCCCAATGGACCCGTCAAATACATAATCAAATTCGAAGCTATTCCAAAGTAGGCAAATCTCTCAGCCACTTCAACCCCTGATAATTAGAAACAAAAATAAATAAATACACCTTATCTTGCCTAAATTGAACTTGAATGGGAAATTGGGGTAGAATTATTAGAAGTTGAACCATGCACAGACGACCACAAGGGTATAATCCAGGTTAACATCCCATCCAAAACATTTAAGCAGTTAAGAGAGGGTAGCTGTATTAATTTTGGGTGTGCTTGCTCTGATTTTTCAAAAACAGTTCATGCCAAACAGACCCTTAAATCCTGTATTGAATGAATAAAAGCACCTATTAGAAAGAATGCGGACTTCCAACGACCGGAACCCCGTCGGGTGACAGGGCGGCCTTTGAAGTCGACGGAGCCATGGACGAAATCGTCTAAGAGTGGAATTCCAGCAGCTGAAGAGCTGGGCATAGCCATATTTCTGGATTTCACTTAACAAATATCTGTAAATTTCACACTACAATTTATTTCTTCGTTTTGAAGTATTGAGATATATTTATCAAATGGATAAACCGTCTTATGACAAGTCTCGGATTATGCTGTTTCTTATAAGACAATTATTGGGACCACCATGAAGCATTCTTTTTTAAACAAATCAAACTGTAATAATAACATGAAATTTAGCATCCCAAAAAGAATTATTTTGATTGGGTCACGAATTCCAATGATTTTACATTCTGAATTCTGTCAGTTATTTAGCTCTTGTTTGGTTTCATTGAAAAACAGATTTTTAATAACTTTTGAAATAACGGAACGTATGGTTAAAAATAAATTTGAAAAAAAATAGGACGAAATATGGCTTATGTTTTGATGAAGGTTAAAGATAAAAGGTCAACTTCATAAATTAAAGTTGAGTGATCCACACGAAATAAATTTGTAGGGTGGCTGACCTTGAATGAAATTTTCCTTATAAGTAGGAAAAATTATTCGTCTAGATATTTTAGGAAGAAAGTCCCTGTCATGAGATCAACTTCATAAATTAAAGTCGATTGATCAACACGAAATAAATTTGTAAGGTGGCCAACCTTGAATTAAACTTTCCTTATTAAGTAGGAAAAATTATCGATTAGTGTCTCGATATTTTACGAAGAAAGTCTCTGTCGGGAGGTCAACTTCATAAATTAAAGTTCAATGATCAACACGAAATAAATTTGTAAGGTAGCTGACCTTGAATGAAACTTTTCTTAAAATTAGGAAAAATTATTCAATTAGTCTCTCGATATTTTAGGAAGAAAGTCTCTGTCAGGAAATCAACTTCATAAATTAAAGTTGAGTGATCAACACGAAATAATTTTGTAAGGTGGCTGACCTTGAATGAAACTTTCCGTATAAGTAGGAAAAATTATTCAATTAGTGTCTCAAAGTTTTAGGAAGAAAGTCTTTGCCAGCCTCAACCAACGATAAAAAGGTTACAGTACATTGATAGTTGACTACAACCAGGGACGGACGCAAATAATTAAAGTTAGGGGGCACAATCGAACTTATAAAAAAGTTGGGAGAAATTTTATAATCGAGAATTTACATACAAAAAGATCATACCCCATGTAATTTTACATCTGAAAATTTACATGGAATATGACTTTTTCGAATGTAAAATTTCGAAATTTTTTGATGTCATATCCCATATAAATTTTCTAATAAAATAATACAAATTAAATTGAGAAATTTGTATCACAAAAATCATAAATGTTAATGAANAAATTACATTGAGAAATTTGTATGACAAAATTAATAAATGTTAATCAAATAATTAAAATTTTAAAAAAATGCGAGTTTGACGCTTCTTTTTAAGATGTACGTTTGACGTATTTTTAACAATTTTCGATATATGTTTGAACTATTCGATATGCCTATAATGTAATCCTCGAAACGAGCTTTGAAATGATATAAGCGATTTGTAGATTCGACTATCGTACGATCGTTTGGGAATTTTTAAAGTTAACATTTTATCGAAATTCTCGAAATACTAATTTTAAGCCGCCTACTTTGACAAATTGTAATATTTGCTACGATTGGTCGTTTCGCACGCCGTTAATAACATAAAAAACTAGACTGTGAGCACTTCAAAATCGTATTAAGAATGCAATATTTCAATTTCGTTTCACATTTTATAATGATTTTTAAAATTGAAAAAAAAAAAGAAAAAAGGCAAAGTTGGGGCCCACCCTGGGTCCGCCAGTGACTACAACTTTATTAACTTCTAGCTAATAAAGTATACTTTTTGCCAAATTTAAGTACGAGAATTATTTTAGCAATTTAGAAACTGTTTATGATAATACTTGAGAACATGTGGCTCGTTGTACGCCACAAGCATTTCCATCACCTTTCCAATTCATTGCCACTCGGCACCCCCGAGTTTTTATTTTATTTTTTGTAAGTTACCAAATGATGTTTGATCACTTTTTCAAGCTCGTAGGCTCATGAACTTTAAGCTCGTGGATCATGCCACAAGCCATGACAAATCCCAACGAGCTGAGCCGTGCTCGGGCCGCCGATGCGTAGAGCTTTGATGAGTCGATCTGACAAGTTACTCGACCATTTTGTCACCTCTAAGCATATCTATATATGGAGATGAGAAACTGAATTTTTTTAAAATTTTGGAATTCGAATTACAATTAGATTGATCTATTTAATAATAGGAAAAACATACTCTCGAGATATATATCAGTTGCTGCATTTGATACCATATAAGCAAAAAGAATTGGTAATCTTGGTATTGGTCGATTTGTAAAGAATTGGTATAAGAGAATGCTATACACT